TTTTTTTTTTTTTTTTTTTTTTTTTTTGCAAAACAATTAAATTATATTTCAAAATTTTATTTTTGTGTAAAAGAAAAGAAAAAAAAAAATCTCTCCCTATTTGAGTAAATGGTACAGTAGCAGGTAGAGACCGTTATTTACAACATAACAAATGAAAAATATAGCTAAAAATAACTATATGGAATCATGCCACGAATATTCCAACAAAACTTTTTTTTTTTCTTTTTTACATCTTTAATCGTTTTTTAAATATATAATTCACTTTTGTATTTAATAAAAACCTGATTCGGTGTTTAATAGGTAATTGTGTTTTACCGTTGAGAATCGGTTAGACACAAAATTAAAAGCTTCAAACTTATTAAAAAAAACTTTAAATTTAAATGAATTAGTAATTTAAATGAATTAGTAGATTTTTGGTAATGGTCGGTTGTTTATGAACCCTATTAATTGTATTATCTATTTATGAAATGAAAATAAAATGCAAAAAAAGCTTTATTCATCTTTAATTTCACATAGTTTTATAGTTCCTCAAATCCCTTTTATATGTGTTTATTTTGTTAATAAACTTTAGACACCGTTCAAATAGATTCCAACACTTTCAATGTTATACATAGCATATCATTGATTTATTCGACGTTTAAAATTCATCGATCTACTAGACATAAAATTAAAGACTTCAAATTCTGACAGACATAAAAGAGATGTGTGAAGAGACACATTCCAAACGAGATGTGTAAATAAGATAAAGAAAATGTAGAACACCAAATCTGTGGGAAGGATATGAAGATCACAGTGAATCAGAATTAAGAACAAAGCAAAAGCAAAAGCATAAGCATTGTGGATCTCAAAAGAGACAACCGTGGGAAAGGAAGCTCAGTTTGTTGCCTCCATTGCTTGTTTTCTAATACATCATGGCATGGAAATGCCAGAAACTTCAGCAACAAAGAGGAACAAATTTGCTTAAAAGGCCAAACTAATGAATTTCAGGACATGACACTTAAAAGTAGAGGGCGCTATTACCAAAGGCAAAGGCTCATTTCTTATAATAATTGAGTATAGCAAGGATAGGATAGGATAGGGTAGACAGCCATTGGGATGTGCAGAAATTAGCCACCATCCACAGCTCGTGAATCAAAGATAAAACAATTGGAAATAAGCTATAAGAGGTTGATAGATATCAAGAGAGGAAATGCTCATTTAAAATCAGGCTTCTCAGGGAATGTGCAGCCAGACCTTTGTATGATGACATTTGATGCATAAATCCCAGCTTTTACACAGTCCTCGATGGGTTTTTCTTGCACCAACTGAGATAGAAATCCTCCAACGAACGCATCTCCTAAAAAACGAACGAACGAATTAAAACACAATTTTGGTGTTCGTTTATGTACCTAAACTTAGCTTAAACTTGGACGTGCTTGATGGTTCACGTTCACCGAGCTCGGCATAACATACCTGCTCCATTTGTGTCGACAAGTTTCTCTTTTGGCAACAAAATAACTGGGAACTTCTTAACTTTTCCATCCTCGGCAACTATAACTGGATCTGGACCTTGAGTAATAACAGCAATCCTCTTGCGTGTTTCTGATGCTTTTGGCCACTGAGCAATCTTTAGCGCTATCTCCTCGACATTCTCAGTCTGGTCATAACAAGTTAGCCTCCGTTTATACATGAAATGAAAATCACTATTCAAGCCTTTATGTGACCAAGCAAACCATTACCTCCCAACCCTGAACTTTCGAGAATGTCCTTGCTTCGGTTTCGTTACCAAAAATGAAGTCCATATACCTGAAATATAAACAAAAAAAGACATCTCCTGTCAACTCTTCAAACTTTCTTACCTTTACCACGTAACGTACATTCGTACTTCGTACTTACGGTAAAACTTTCTCCAGTGCATCCTTGAAAAACTCGCAGATAAATGGAGCAGACAGATTCATTGAGAAATACTGCAAATGATTGGCAATATTAGTTACTTGTTCTGAAGCCTTGGTAAACTATATAACTATAGTCACAATGTGAACCTTTTTGTTTGCAGCCGCGTGTTCGGCCACAATCTGCACGGAGTCTGGTGATACGGTAAGGAAAAACCCAGCAATGTAGAAATACTTGGCCTTTTCAACTGTCATCGTGGCAAATTACAATCAAAGTTAGCTCATGAATGCAAAATATATCCTATCTGCGGGTCCCTAAAATATTTCAAACAAAAACTTGGTATTGTTTGATACCTTGTTCAGCAGAACAGTTTTTTAGAAGAACTAAGATTGAGAACTTGAAAATGAACAAGGTTACTGCATAAAAATGATTCACTAGTCCAGGTTCTTGTACAAAATAATCCACCACGAGACAAATTAGAGAAGAAACAAGGTAGCAAAGCTTTTAAAGAACATCTTTTCAAGGGAACTTCTAAATAACAGATTACCAAAAATGTTTCACTAAATTCTTGCTCTAAAAAAAAGTAATAATCTTTAAGAAAAGATACCACACAGCCCTCTGAAAACCATATATATGAGTTTGGTGTATACCTAATGCCCAATTTTCAGGTTTTTTCAAATGATCTGATTTGTAGCAATTTGCGGCAGACAAATTGGCAATAAGCGACCTGTATGTCAGAGAAAACAGACTCTTGGTTAAATTAATGATTTCCAGAAGTAACAATCTGAGAAATAGCCCATTATTTTACAAGGAACGTACTTTATATGTTTGCCTTAATGTTAAAGTGCTCAAAGAAATAAGATTTTGACTAACCTTTCACCACCCACCACACATACAGCACAGGTTCCTGTTGGTGGAGAATCAACCTCATAATATTGAACCTATTTTCTCAAATACCAATGGGCAAACGAGCAAATAACATCTTAATAAACAATTCGAAACATACAATTATCACCAAAATGGAAGACAGTGATAGAGTGTGAAACTTACATTAACACCTGCACTTTTCGAGTTTTTCTTCATCTCCTCCCCGAATTTGTCTTTCCCAACGCAACCAATATAGCTCGTTGCACCAGGATGTTGGAGCATCCACTGAAAAAGGTGAGAAAAGTTTCATCCCACGGCAGAAAATAAACAAATGGTTACAGGTTAAATTCACCAGGGAACAAGATTAGTATACCTGAGCGACTTTGATCGAGTTTTGTGTAGCACCTGCACTTGAAAAAGTTCATGAAATTCACAAATGTGCCAAAACCAATATAACACAAATAGATTCAATCATCCACACGTCACCTCCAGCAATGTACTCCACGTTAGGATTGTTTGCCAATTCTTCATACCTACAAAAATAAATACACAAGAACAAAGAAATGTGCCCGAGGCTCATTAAAAAGTTACATCAAATCCTGATTTCTTTTCAACTAAACGAATGCATCACAAGCCACAAACAGTAGTTTAGCTAGTATGCAAAGTACTTCTGTAACCAAGTTATTGTCAGCTTCTTGCTGTTCTCCCGTCGTTTTAGCAACTAGTCCGGTAGTTCGATTGAATATTGACATAACATCCATATTGAAAAACTTCATCAAGTAAATTACCTCAACTACGATACAAAATCCTTTTACTTTTCTCTTTACAAAAACAAAGAATTAAAGAAGTATCCTCGATCAAGATAGAACAGCAAGTAATATCAACATGGATCAAACATCTAACAGCACTGACTTCATACATTCCTTATTCTTCATTGAGAAGGAAGCAATCAAATTGTAACCAGAAACTTAATTTTCACGCAACCCCAAGTTACTGTCGAATCCTATGAATGATTTTCTCGAGAACTAATGGCATACATTTAAAACAAGAAAAACACGTAATCCTAAAGGAATAAATGTCGCGGAACATAAAAGCATAGCTAATAGCCGTGAATAGTAGCAGCCACAAGCCAGTACGAGTAAGAAAATTGAAAATCAATCCCTTACATTGGAAGATGTTTCTCCTCTGCAAGGATAGCATCGTTCAGCTTGATGTCGTATCTGCACCAAACGAGTAAATTTACAGAATCAAAATACAAAAAAAAAAAAAAAAAAAAAAAAAAAAAAACGTGAAANTCCTCATGTTGCTCTTTCCGATCGAATTTACAATTTACAGAACCTCTCCTCAACCATACAACCAATAAAGCTTAGAAACGAAACAAAAAAAACCAGAAAAGCAACAATGAAATTAAGATTGGAGAAAAGAAAGACTCAACAACGTAAAAAATATGCGATGGAATAGCATAAGGATCTGAGTTTGATAAGAAACCAGAGGAAAGGTGAATGAAAGAAGGATTAAACAACGGCGAAATACCTCTTCAAAAACTCATCATCGACGACAGCTGAGAT